CCCAAAACCCCAAAACCCCAAAACCCCAAAACCCCATCAGTTAAGGTAGAAGATCAAATTGAACGATGAATAAAACAATGGATATACAATGAATTAATAGTTGTATTATTAAAATATAGTTAAGTTTGGAGTAGAGGATATGCATTAATCTTTGTCTAGCAATTTTGAGCAGAAGATCGTTTTAGAGATAAAATCAGACTCACATTCATTTGCAGAAAAAGCAATCGAATTTATTGACAATGGTATTAGACTGATCATAACTAGCAAAAATAAACAAGCAACTGAAGTTACCTGTCCACACTGTAACTAAAATTTAAACATCACTCAAGAACTCACAAATCTAGATAATAATAATTTAGGAGAGTCCTCTAAAATAATTTTTGAGAGTTAAGACAAAAGTACCCTTCTCTTAGCAAGTAGAGATGAGGAGCTTTAATAATCTATAAAGGAAATGAATCCGCAATTAATCTCTGTAGGAACCTAAACAGCATTAATATCACAGCCTAAGATAGTTATACTAAACAAGATTGCAAATCAGTAGACTTCAAATTCTCATTTAATTGAATCAACCATCTAAACTTAAATCAAAGATAATATGAACTCTAAAACCCAGGAAAACTTCCGTAAAGAGGAATGTATCGTCTTGTAAAGCTGTGAGACATAAACTGAATAGACAACTTCTTTATCAGAGTAGAAGATTCTTTCATCAACAAACGCTTATCTTAAATATCATCAAAGAGATCAAAAGAAGTTTAGTGACGAATACATAACATCTGTGCTTTCATAGAAGAAATAATAATATGAATCCATTTCCAGTAGAGATTACTAATCTCTCTCAGGCAGGCAATTCTCGACAATGAGTGAGTTTGGAACCCTTATCTCATCTAATAACTCTGCATTTCAGGCCTTCAACTCTCTCAAATAGCAAGAATTCAATTGCCCATCTGAAGATGCTTAGATCACCTCCAAATCTTAATGCGTACCCTAGAATACATAATAACAACAGCTCTGTCTGTCCAGAATAGCTGGTAGGGAAATTTGCAAGTTAAAAGAGCTCTCGTAATCAAGAGCTGAATTCTTCTCGTCTGTTAGCAATAGTGAGGTCATCAGATAAGATAATATTGACGCGGAAATGCCCTCTCAAAATAGTTTAAGTGATATTGATATTAGCGAAAGTGGATCCTAAATCTAATCAGAAATATTATATGTTGACGAAGCCCCTTTCTTACCTAAAAAATGTTCTCTTAGTTCTGTTTACAATCTGAGTCGAAAAATGAGAGTTTTAAAAAACAAGGAAAGTAGTATTAACAAAATGAAGGTTTCCTCTAATTCCAAAAAGATAATTAAGGATATTTAGGCCCAAGTCAAGAAGAAAAAGATCTACTTGAATGTTGACTCTAATAATTCTCCATAGCAAATTTAATAAAAATAAATATCATAATTAGAGGATTTTAAAGATTCAGAGTTTAATTAATCCGACCTTATAATTCACCAGCATAATAACTTAAAAGAAAACAGCAAAAAGACTCTTAACTCGGAGCCTAACACCAGAGTTAAGAAGAAAAAAGATAAGACATCTCTCTCTTCACCTACTTCTAAATATCGAAAGTATTAATGTAAATTTTGCAAAAAGAGATTCAGGATCTGTGCGGCTTTAGGAGGGCATATAAGCAAAGCGCACCCAGGACAAAGTTCAGCTTATAATCATAAAAAGCAAGTTCGAGAATAGAGAGAACTCGAAAGATAGCTGCACAAAGATGCTATGAATTTTTACTTTGAAAACTTTAACAACGTCCAAGGCCTAGAAAACAATGTTTTGAATCGTAATACGATCAAAAGAATAAAGAAAATGCTTGTTTATAAGGAAGATCAATATTAATCTCTCCGTGAAAAGTTTCTTGTAAATAAAGAGGATGGGACTGAGCATGATGCTCAAAGGAAAGGATCTTAGACTGATTAGGACGATAGTAATGAAGAAATTACAGAACCCTCAATTTTGAGGATTCTTGAGTAAAAAGAAAAAACTTAAGTTGAAGTAATTAAGCGAACTACTAGAGCGAGAATTCAAAATTCTCAATTAAACTAATGATTCATCGTTTAATCTATTACATTATAAATACTGATGTTTTGTTTTTTTAGATAAATTAATGTCTTTTAAACTATTCAAGAATCAATCAATAATTACTTTTTAAGGGGTTTTGGGGTTTTGGGGTTTTGGGGAGATCGGAAGAGCACACGTCTG